AGAAAGTCATATCCTTTTTTTTTTTTTTTTTTTTTACTGTTGCAGTCACTCACAGAACATTGGCATTAGTGAGTCTTGAAGGTGGTTGGGATAGGATTTAACTAAAACACATGGCAAAGCCCCAAGGCTAATCCCTCAAAAGAGTACTCAGAAGCAGCAGGTTAGAGATGCTTGTTGGCCAGCAAGTTCCTAGTGGTTCAAGGAAGATTGTATTCATGGTAGGTACCAGGTGTAGGTTCTAGAACTAGACCTGGGTTTGAACCCTGGGTCTTCAGTCATCTGAAGCAAGTTACTTAATCTCTGTTCTGAGTTATTTATATGTGAAATGCTTGCTGGGACCAGCAGCTCATGTTCATGTTGTCCTGGTAGGATTAATCCACGTAGAGTGCTGACAATAGCTGGCAGGCAGAAGTAGCTAAGTAAATGGTGGTGGTGATGGTAGAATAGTAGCCTCACTAGCAATATTGGGGCAACAGTTGTCATGGTGAACATCACTATCCTCTCAACATAATGATTTCCCATATTTGTACCCTGTCACAGAGTTGCAAAAGACCAGCCTCTGGCAGGTAGAATCAGTAAGAGGTAGTAGATCATATTATTCATGGACAGTATTTTAAGAATTGAGAAAGAATCTTAATGCTGCTGACAACTGCAAGTCCTGCCTAGGTTTTGTTCCTCTAGTGATTGTTCCCAACAGCTGTGTCAGGGACTCTGTTGCCTTTTAATATCATTACAGGTAACCAGCCCTGCAGGGGTCATCAGCATGGGCTCCCTTCTATCTACTTCCATAGGAAGGTTGATCTCCCTCATTCTCTCATCATGTATGTGGCTGTGTCTCCAGTGCCTCTATGAATGGAAGTCACACATGATGCAAATTCAAGTGAATTGCTCTCACACTGCTATGCCCTGCCCATAACCCCTATATCACAGTTCTCTGTCAATATCTATACTCAAAGACAGTGGAGGGGAGAGGGAAGGCAAGGCCAGGGTTGGGACAAATGTGCCCAATTAAGTGCTCTAATGGTGTAACTTTGCCCTTCAAGGGACATATTAGTGATGTCTGAAGGCCTTTTTGGTTGTCACAGTGGGGATATTGCTACTGTCATTAAGTGTCTAGAGACCTACAGTGCACAGAGCAGCCCCCCAAAACAAAGATTTATCGGGTCCAAAGTATTTATGGTGTTGAAGTTGAGAACTGACTTAACCCAAATTAGAGGAACATGGTTTATCTGTCTGGCTAACTGAAGTTGCTGGTATTATTAATATCATTTCTTTACAAATGGACTCCTTGCTAGCAGTATAGGCTTCAGGAAAAGATGCTTTAGATGGGGGAGATAGATATCTCTTCTCTGAGGAGTGGTATCTTTTTTTTTTTTTTTAAGATTTATTTATTTAGTCATACAGAACTGGGGTACAGGCTAGAGATGCAGAAGGTGAGAGGATTCACCAGGAACAGAGTGGGGAGCAGAACAGGCAGATCGACGAAGTACACTGCTGAGGGGAGCAGCGGGTGGGTCAGGAGAGGTCTGCCACGCCATGTGGATCTCCTCCGGGGCAGGCGGGGATCGAACTCATGCGGAAGTGGCTTAAGCTTCTTAGTGCTGTGCTTTAACCCGCTGCGCCACCAGGGAGGGCCAGGAGTGGTTTCTTTATACTGAACACTCAGCTGCCTCTCAGCCGTGCTGTTGCCCCCAGTGTGAGGCGGCCTCTGGCAGTCTTCAGAACTGTGGAGAACCAGGTGACACTTCAGATTAAGTGTAAGGGCAAAGCCGGTGACAGCTCCCGCCATGTGTGCCAGCTGATGATGTGCAAGGACAGAAGGAGTCTTGCCGGCCATGGGGCTGTGGCCCCTGGTGGAAGGTGAGCTTGTGACCCTTTGGATATGGGGCTTAAGCATGCATCACCATGGGAGAGTGTTCTTTAGGAAGGTGAAAACATTTTCCAGAGGAAGACTTTGTTTCACTTACATTTTTAATACAGTTGTACAGCACTTAAAAAAATGGAGCCCCACACTCAGGGCTCTGGCATTTGGCCCCAGAGCACTGCTTGTGCAGAAGCAAGTGATGGGATATTTTACTGCCAGCTACCAGTGGCCCCAGTGGGGTTCAGCCTGTAGGCAGAAGTGAGTGGTGATGGCAGGTGACTGTGATTCCCCTACCATGCCACCCCAGGGTATGCAGCCCCTGACTTAGGGCTGCAAAGAGGAGCATGGGGTGGAGGATGAAGAGGTAGGGTGAAGCACGGGGGCAACTTCAGCTGTTGTGACTGTTACCAGCTTCAAGTGGTAGAGAGGCCTGTGGATTTGGTGCCTGAATAGTAGAAGGGACTGATCAGGTGCAAGCTATGAGCTGATTGGCAAAGGTCCAATCATCTATAGGATTAAAACTGGTCCAATCAGACTTGGAGGTGGGGACCCTGAAAGACAATATGAGGCAGGGCAGGCACCAGCTTGGGCTTCCTACACTCTCTGAGACGTGCACTGTGCTTCTTGGTTCCCGGCCTCAGAAGGGAGATGCTTGGACTGACTGACTCTTTTACTGACTTGGTTCTTGACAGCCAAAGGAGAAAAAAGAAGCACCCAGCAGCTAACCTCTGAAGGAAGAAAAGCCGAAAGCTTTGCAGAGAAGCCAGAGTTTCATAGAGGTTGGGCCGGTTGCCCCTGCCTGTGGCCTGCCTCTAACATTGCCTGAACAGCCCAAAAAAGGCCCTGGGCCTGGTGTCTCAGAAAGCTGTTTGTTGGTGGTGTGGGCCAACAACTCACAGAGTTGTAATGCTAGTGACCGGGTGACCCTGTGTCCCGGTCACCTCTGAGAGCTGGAAATTATCCAGTACCACCTCGTGGTACTGCTAGCTCTGTTGGTGTGGTCCAGCATCTAGGGCTGTCTGTCCCAACCTCAAACAGTGGCTGGAGCTGCTACAGCATGGTCTCAGCTGCTCCATCTGTGAGTGTCTTCAGCTTTGGTGAGTGGGGTCCCAAAGTGCTGCTTGTGTCTGCTTTGAGCTCCAGGCTGCTAGGGGGTGGGAGGGCGCCATCTTGGGTGAGCATCCTTTTGTTTAGGACTTTTTTTGGGACACTGTAGACACTCTGTGAGTGAGACAGCTGGTCACTTGTGACCTTGAAAATTCCTTATTTCCCCTGTTGTTAAAACCCATTGTTCTCTGAGCTGAGTGGTCTTGCAGTTGTGTATAGGTGAAAACTCAGATGACTCTGCTGAACACCTCTAAAGCACTGTTTCACTTGTTATGTGCCAGGTAGTGTTTGAAAGATTTTATAAATATTAACGCATCAGATCCTCAACCCAAAGAAGTAGGTTTATTCTTCATTTCAGTATAGAGCAGGAAACCTAAGAAGTTTGACTCCAACATCTGGATCATTGGCTACTTTTCAGCCACTTGGGTTCTTTGTTTAGTCTTGGCTCTTGATTTCTGGCTGGTCACAGATAATATGGAATTAGGCAGACTTAAGTCAAGTCTCTATTCTGATTTGTTATCTCTGTACCTTATTTCTTGTCTCTGAGCCTCAGTGTCCTCATTTATATAATGAAATCATACCTACCTAATAAAAATGTTAAGATAGAATGGGTTTTCTTATTGTGTATGTAGCATAGAGAAGGGATTCAGGAAACATTAGATTCCTCTGACTTCTTTTTATAATCATGTTTTATCCCTGGTACTCTAATGCTCTGCCCAGTTTGTCTTGCTACCTTCACATTGTGAAGAAGCCTGATGTTTGGTATTGAGGAGGATGCTATTATGTTATGCTGGTTACATGGAACCATATTTTCAGGATAAAGATGTGGGTTTTGCTTCTGTTTGTTGTTTTTAGTGAGACCTACCAGTGCTGTCTGTAAACCACTAATTACACAAATTTCCATGTTAATTCCACACTTGTTCTGATAAGGTTCTCAACCTGGCAAAATAGGGCTGCCCAAGCCAAGTGCCTCTTGATTGAGGTTGGTTGTGCTTTAGGGTAAATGAGCTCATCAGGCTTTTCCTTCCTGGCCAGGTTAGAGTACTTGCTCAGAGCAAGTTCTGCTCTGGCAGAATGGAAGGTGGGAGCTTCCATTTGTCTCCCTTCCGAACTTATTTCTTTCTACACACACTGTGCACTTCTCCCAGACCCAGTTCAAAAGTAAGTCTGGATTCTAATCATGGGAATGGTTATCCTTGTCACATATACACTTCAGTAGGACATCTTTCTTTGTAAAATTTCAGGAGGGGCTAACTTCATTTATTTTATGTATACAGAATACCTCGTATACAAACATAGTAAATACTTATGTATGCATAAGGAGAATGTGTCTGTGATTTATGCAGAGAAAGTACATTTTTTAGTCCAAAAGCATGAGATATATGAGAAAGAAAATTCTCTTAAATGAAAGTGTCACGAGAGAAATATCCCCCAGCAGAATATATCTGGCACATAGTATTGTAAAACATTTCTTGAAAAAATGAGTCTGTTCTTTAAGTATTCTTCTCTTTCTGGTGGTAGTTAACTATGGGTTATCTAGCATGCCTGGAAATCAGGAACTGTAGCTTTTGTTATTACCATCTATAACCAGCGGAAACAAAGACAACAGAAAATTGGTACATGTTAAAGTACACAGCACCAAAAACAATGATGAACTTGATCCAGAAGCTACTTCAGGACCTTGCCTGCACTTTGGATTGTCATTCTATGCATCAGTAGCCATTATGTTTTTAAGGAGGAGGGATTTATTAGAATGGTTTGGCAGAATGCAAAGTAACAGGAATTTTTCACTATCAACCTAGTAGCTGGCAATAATTTTATACCAGTTATTGAAAAACTTGCAGAAGAGATTGTACTCTCTGGGCCATTTGAAGATGCTCATATTTAAGATGTGATTTGTTAGGACAGGTCATCGAGTACTATTTTTTTTTGGCATTTTTGTCTCTTGGTGGGAGGGGAAGGTGGATGAACAGGACAAATATGTAGGGCCTAAAGTATTTGTATAAAAGACACTTTTTTTTTTTAACAGATCTGAAGAAAACTCTTGCTGTGTTGTTGGATAATATTTTGCAGCGCATTGGCAAGTTAGAATCGAAAGTGGACAATCTCGTAATCAATGGCACAGGAACAAACTCAACCAACTCCACCACGGCTGTCCCCAGCTTGGTAGCACTTGAGAAAATTAATGTGGCAGGTAAGAATGGCAAGTCTCTGTTCTGACATGGAGTCCAACTGATTTCAACTAGGAAATTAATAAAGAAGCACAGTGCTTCTTACTGGTCTAACATAAATCCCACAAGCTTGTATTGCCTTGGTAAAGCTAAGTTTAAATTTCTTTTTGAAGAACAGATGTTAAAACGCTGTTGCAGCCTCTCAACATGATGTGGTTACTGTGATGTATTTCACATAACAAGTTTCTGGAATTTCTGTTAATGAGAAGATTCATAGCATGATCGAGTGAAATACAGAGGTTATTCCCATTTTCATTGCTTAGTTTCAAAAGTCTGTTACATATGGTTGATTTTCTCCTTTTGTTGAAGAAGAACTCTCATTGTAGAAAATGCCTTCTGTGAGTCTCTGGAGAAATAAAAATTCTGGACACATATAAAATAAATGGCTCCAGCCTGACCTTGACCTGATCCTGTAGTCACTTATGGACCCACCATGGTGTTCCCACTGGGATACATTTTGTCTGGCCGCTTCTTAAATCTGGAATCTTGAATAAGAGAATATAAATAGATAAAAAAACCAAACCCAAATCATACACAACATGTATTTTTCACAACTCACCTTTGGATATGATGATGAAGTGCCCTCAGCCTGGCCTCTGGGTAAAAGAGGCTAGGGCTTTGTAGAAGAGCCAGGGCTTCCTCTTGTTAAGGTGACCACTGTCACTTCTTAGCATCCCAAAGGGAAGAGCTGGAAGATTAGGAGTAGAATTTTTTTGGATGAATAGTTCTGAATGAAACTGTCTCCACACCTGTGGCTGGTATCCAAACCGTTAATGGATAAATCAGTGACTGGCTTACTTTTGAGCTGATAAAAATTTAGTTGAGTACACTTTTTGCCTTCTTTCTCTCTTTGATTATAAAGATTCATTGACTTCAGTGGGAGAGATTCTTTTCCTTTCCTACCTTCCAGTGTCAAAACATTTAATTGTTTCCTATTATGCAAGCTCCTCTATTACCTTATGTTCTTTGCCCTTTAGCAAGTTTTAAACTGCAAAATATATTTCTAATAATTCAAAGTATCCAGCCAAACAAAGGTATTAAAATAACTTTTAATTACAACACAGAGGCAGTGTCATCTGGGCCATAAATCCTGTCTTCCCTGCAGTTTCCAACAGCTTCTGTAATTAGACAAGAAAACCTCCCACTGTGTTGAGCTGCTTTTTAATAAATGGAACTCATGCCTCTCCAGTCTCCACTCCTCCACCCCCATCCCCAGTAGGAAATGTCCTATCTGATTTCATGGCAGTTCTGCATTATCACAGTTCTGGAGTTGGGGTGGGGTCTTAAGCCTTCAACTTTGCTGCGTCCCACTCCCTCCGTTCTGTAGGCCCATGTCAGCGATCCCCCTCATTCCCTTCTCTGATAAGGGGATTTCTATTTGTGTGCCTGGCTCACAGTGTGCTTTCCCCACACAGGCAACACAATTGTGGGTCCACCTCTATGGGGAAGTTGGTGGTTACTTCTTTCAAACTGGATCCCAGACGTCCTACTATGTACTGCAGTAGTTTACTAATTAACCAGTATCAGTTGAGCACATTCTCAAAGCCACTGGCTATGAGCAGGGCTTCATTAGATGTGCCAGTGGTACTGGCTGTTTGATATCTAAAGACCCAAAATATTTTATGTTTCTTTTTCTTTTTGGAAATGGGAGCGAATTTGGTTATCCCTTTAATATAATTAGCTACATTCTCACTCCTTTGCATCTTGTGTGCGCGAGACACAATCTCTAGCTTCAGGATGTTTATTGGCCAATTAGGAAAATAGTACACATGCATAAAATAGCACATCTGGGCTGTAGGGAAGGGTTTTGTGGATAGCTTGTTTCAAGAAGGTAAACTTTCAAGGATTTGAAGGATTGAGACATAGGGACCTCATGGAAGAGGGCACAGAAATGGATTGTGACCCAGAAAAAACTTGGAAGGAAAGGAGAGAAAACTAGCATCTAGTAACTATCCTGACCTTTAGGGGCACATGGTTTTATTTAATGTTCTCAGCATCTATAAGAAGTAAATAGTTTCATGGGCTTTACAGAGCTTGAGTAGTATTTACTACTAGAATCCTGAGCTCAGTTTAAGTTCTCCTGATACCATGTAAAGAAGAGACTGTGAGAATCCGTCCTGTCTTTCTTGCTGCCATTTATAGATCATTGCAAGTGGATGAATCTGGGAAAATGTGTGACTGTTTTTGTAGAGGTTCCTAGAGAACTGATGGTTTCCTGGCTGCTGTTTAATAATCTGTCTATTAAGAAAGTTCTCTAAGGGGGTGTTCTTTTCACTGAGCTATATAAAAAGCATACACATCTCCCCGTATCTGTGAGTGAATGTGCATTACTTCCTTAGACATTGTATTGGCCACCATTGATAAAAATGGGAAACAGAGCCCATCAATTAACCAGTGCATGTATTTGAGCTATTAGCCATGTGAAAATTAGAGTCCTAAAGAAGGTCTTGTCCTCAAGAATAATGAGAATGTCAGTTCACAGCCCCTGTCCATCAGCAGCCTCCCATTGCTTTCTTGTCCTCTCTCCAAGCGATGGCCTTGTTGGCAGTCCTCACACCCTTGGGTCCTAACAGAAAAGACTCTTGAGCTGTGAGAGAGTTTGCTGTTACAAGATTCCAGTCTGTCTTGAATGAAGTTTTCTTTTCTCCATTAAGACATGTGGTAATTGCTCAGAAATGTTCTCCCTGGTGTGTCTTTACTGCTTACTCTGGTGTCTTATTGCTCACTGATGTTTCTGATTGCTTACTGTTGTGTCTTATTGCTTGCTGATATATCTACTGGTTGGCTGTAAACTGCCTCTAAATTGGATACAAAAGCAGTTGAAGAAGTGTTCCCTAAGTTTATTTTCTTCGTAGGGTCAATTTTGTGTGTGTGCATCTGTGTGTGTGTACATGTACATCCATCCCCTTTTTTCTCTTAGCCATATTCTATGTAATTTTTAATCTATGATAACATTTCTCCCCAAATTTTTCATTGGGCACTTCATTATGTGAAAGTAAATGTTTCTCTAGAGAACTTTACCTGGAAATGAATTTTAATAAAATCAAATGTGAGGTTGGCCTGCATTTTTGAACTCTGTATCTTTTTGAAGAGGAAAATGAACCTAAGAAGTGAAACACTGGATTTTTAAAAATCCATGCACCACTAGATTCTACTTTCTAATAGGTTTTACTAGATTCTGTTTTCTACTAGATTCTATTAGATTCATCATTCATCATCATTCAAGATGATGCTTTAGTTTTTGGAAAAGCCAATTCTGCTTTTCTCTGCTGGATGTTAGGTTATGAGGCAGAGCAAAGAGAATTGGATGTCTAGGTCTTTGCCAGGTACTAACATGGGGAAAAGGTAAGATGTCTAGATAGGCATAATGAGAAGATTTGCTGTCCAGTGTCCTTTTTTGCCTATGGTTTCTTGTGCAGAACCTACCTATTGTTCAGGCCATAAATCTTGCTCACCTGAATTGGATTATGCTGATGGAACAGCAGTTGTTTTCACTGCGAAAGGAGTTTTTCCTTGTAGTTCCTCTTCATTTCTGTTAATGAGAGATTTGCTTGGAAGTGGGACTTAGTATCTCAAACATCAGTAGTAAGAGCTAACCATAAGTCTGTTTTTGTTGGTCCTGAGCAAGCTTCTCACAGATTCTATGCTGTGGGGTCTTCATGGAATGGGATGGCTCTTTATAAGACTGTACCATTTTACAGGAGAGGGATGTGGTTCAGCTCTCTATGATGGTGGGGGAGATGATGTGTATGCACTTGTTTTTGCTCTCAAGATCCAGTTATCCTTTCAACACAGCTGAATAACTGGTCAGCAACACTGGTTTGCTAACAGCTATAAGGTAATCACAGCATCTCCCTTGTGTTATGACCACTTACAATTTCAAGGGCAATTGGGAAACAAAATCACAACATTGAAGTTGAAGCACAACTTGAATGGCTGTTGTCTGATACTTAGTCCAAATTGAAAGTTGGCAGCCCTACATTTCCCTAACCTCAGTTGCACAGGCAACATATTCTGGTGTTTGGGGCTGGGAGGCTGTTTTTAATAAAAGGCACCATAATTATTATTCTTACCATTTGAAAATTGAAAAAGGAAAAATGTCCCTGCTGAGTTCCAGGGTTTGTGTTTAGAAGTGTAATTTTCTCCCCTTTGTGCTGCTAATGTACCTTGAAATGAAGTTGCACCTGTGCTGTTTCCTTGTTTGTGTACCTGCGTTAGCAGTTATTTTGGAGGAGCACCTGAAGCGTCCCAGCCCCTCCCCCAGCAGCAGCTCAGCAAGTGGCTTTCTCAGGATCTGCCATTGACCTGTCAGTGCACCTCAGTCACTGGCACTCCAGATGCCCCTGAGAAGCAGAAGAGAGATGAGATGCAGAGTGCTGTTTTTTTATATATATATATATATATATAACAGTTTATTTTTACATCATTTTGTACATTTTTATTTATTTATTTATTTATTTATTTTGCCATCTCAATTGTAATCCCCGCAGGTTTCCCATCACCAAGTCACCTGTTTGCCATCACCATAATCCTTTTCACTTCCTCCCCCACCCCTTGCAGAGTGCTGTTTTATTAATTGCAGCAAGAAGTATGTGTTCCTTCAGCTTACCTGTGGCTTCCACTGGCATTCTCTGCATGAGCATCAATAAATATTTGCCTACTTCAACCCAAAAATGCACTTGAACCCCAAACAAAAAAATAGTTCTTTTAGTATCTTTATAGAGAAATGTATGTCATTGTCTGTGTGGCCAGGGGCATTTTGATTTTTCACATGAAAAAAGTAGGGATGCAACAGGAAAGGAAAGAAAAGCATAGTTCAAGAGAAATGATGCTGGCCTGTAAGCCTAGGTATTTATAGCACTAATTATGAACCATAGATAATTTTGTCCCCCAGGAGCCACCTAACAATCTGGAGATTATCTTGGGTTTTTACAATTATCTGCTATTGACATATAGAGGCCAG